GACAGTTTTAAACTTCAAATAAGAAAATGACAGTTCTATTTTAGCCTCATTTCCTAAATTGAATTTTTATTGTGCTGGGTGCTTGGAATCAAAATTAGTAAAACACTTTCAAAAGGTATTTAGAAATCTTTAAAAAAAAAAAAAACAACACTTTCAGAGTAGCAGCATTAAACAGGGACCTACTTTTCTTTTTTTTCTTTTCAATTGACACATATTAATTGTGTATATCAAATTTCATATCATTTGACCTACATTGTACCTTTTATTTTGACAGAAAATAATAATAAAGTTTTACAATCTGAAATATTGTTGCCCTAAGTCCAGTTTTACACCTAGCAAGTAAGAGACAGGGAAGGGTTATGGGCTTCTTCCTTCTACCTTTACTTTTTTTTGTAAATTGAGGCTCCTGATCTTAGCCTAGACAACTGAAATCTCCACCTGAGTGTAATAATATAATAACTCTAGCTTTTGGAAATATAAAGCTAGTTTCCAAGTTTAGAAGTACCAATTTTTCAATTATGATTGAAATAGAATTTTTCTTCTAAGAGAAAGGTAATCACTTCTTTGATAGTTGAATATTATTGATAGAATTATACGTAATGGAGCAAGGAAGTGAATATTTTTATTTTTTTGCTCTTTCATTTTTATTGATGTGTGTTTTGAGGATACCAAACCTCAAATAGAAATAAAAATATCTATTTCTCACTGTGGATGGCAGTGGAGAAATACAGAAAAAACTTTTTTTTTTTTTTGGTGGTACTCAGGTTTTACAGTTAGGGCTTCGTGCTTGCAAGGTAAGTGCTCTACCATTTGAGCCATACCCCTAGCCTTTTGTTCTTTAGTATTTTGGGGATAGGGTCTCACATTTTTTGCTTGGGCCAGCCTGGACTGTCAGCCTCTTGCATGACTAGGATGACAGATATGTATCATTGTGCCCAGCTTATTGGTTGAAATGGGGTCTCACTAACTTTTTGCCTAGATTGGCTTCGAACTGTGATCCTCCTGATCTCTACCTCATGAGTAACTTATGATTACAGGCATGGGCTACCACA